CTTCAGAAGTCCGATTACTTCAATAATCAACGCAAAGAACTAAGAAGAATATAATAATAGTCAATTGGTGTATTAAAGACGATTCCTGCTATATCTTGTCATGTATATTACAACAGAAACTTAACCACTCCTCATTCTCCAATTACCCGTGAGTTACACATTTTATTGTGTGACATTTTAAATTCTTGACCAATGACAATATCACAAAAAAATAAAGAGAGAGATTAGAGGAGTCAGCACTCAGCATCCCTTTAAACGGGCAGGAGTAGGCACCACTCAAAGCGAGATTCACATGAGGCTGTATTTCATAAATGATAATGAAACTTCAATAAAAGCAAAAAATCAATATATGAAATGGACTTGGAGTAACTGTAGAAATATTCAGAATAAATCATCATCTAGGCATATGATATGAATAGCTTTTCGTTGAAAAAAGTATTAAATTTGGACAATACAACCATGAAAAACGTATTGTATCTAATCCAATCAAACTACTTGGATGTTAAACCTACCGTTAATTTCAAAACGCTGCTAAACTGAATGATCAAGTCTGAAGACATAGTGGGGAAAAAGGGATGCAATATAAAATGAAGACTTATAATTTTTGTACTCATCAACTCACTGTATTTATAGGTGAAAAATATGAGAATTATAAATTTGTAAAAATTTTCAAAAAGAAAGTGTATTTATTTATTTAAGGTATTACCCTAATCAATTCATTATATTGATATTCCTAATTAATTTATTATATTAATATTCCTAATTAATCTTATTCCTAATTAATTCATAATATTGATATTACTAAATTTCCATTTTTCATTTGCTTACCAAATAAGCTTTATTAAGTATTTGACCAATAAAATATAAAATATATTTAATTAATTTGACTACAAAAGTTTGGGCGGGAAAATGGAATAGGAGGATTTTACTTTTATATATATATATATAGATATATAGATATATAGATATATAGATATATATAGATATATAGATATATAGATATATAGATTAGGAGTGTACGTTTCGAGTTTCGAGTTTCGATTCGTTTTTTTGGGTTTCATATTTGATTCTTCAGTTTAAAAAGTTTTGATTTTTTTATTTAAAAAAATTAAACCATTTGATTTAACATTAGAGTTCGGTTCAATTTCAAGCGATTTGATTTCGATTCAATTATAGTGAAAGTCTACTGTTTAAACGTTTTCTTTTTCGCCCGATCAATTTTTCATGCCACTTAAACTGTTTTGGTGATGACAATAGCATCTATCTGTATAGTTAATATTTAAAAAATAAAAATTATTAAAAGAATAACTTTCAAATATTCATACAGATTTTCAACACAACCATTTAAAGAAACTATAATGAAATCTCATAAACCGGCAGTGTTCAAACCCTCATTCCAATTTGAAATAAAATGGAATGAATTTCAGTTTAAACCAGTTCAATAATCTAGAATTCCTGGTGGTTCCAACGAGATCTTTCAAAAAAAAAAAAATTCAAGTTCTTCTCTACATTCAATATTTCAAATTTTCAACCAATCATAAACAAAATTACAGAAGCAAAATTCCAACATAGCCAAAGTCCCATACAACAAAATCAAATCATTATATAGAGGACAATATACAACAAAACTTGGTAAAAGTCATTGCAACAAACAAATGGGGAAAAAAACAAAAGCAGCCCCTTACCTCTGGTCACCGGTCGGACTTCAACAGTGGTAGACGGCGGTGAGGTTACGGTAACTGTATGTAGCCTACGGCGTTCAGTGTATGGGGTGCCGGCTACGGATTGCAGGTTGCGTTCAGGTTATTATTATTATTAATATATATATATATATATATATATATATATATATATATATATATATATATATATAAAACAATCGAACGGTTTTCGGTTCCTTTGTTGAGCATATAACCATTAATGTGCAATCCAACTATCAGCTTAGCTTTTAGTTGAAATGGAGCACATACTTCAATTTGGTATCAGAGTCAGACCAAACTCTCCCGAGCACACGTGAGAGGGCGTATTGAGCATATAACTATTAATGTGCAATCCAACCATCAACTTAGGCTTTTAGTTGAGATGGAGCACATGTTTCAATTTCCTCTAAAACTAGTACCGACCGATACATTAGTTTTAAACCAAATCGAACCGGTTCGATTTGGATAAATTGGACCGTTTTGTCCAATCCTAACAAATTGTCACACATTACGAATAAGAGGAAATTACACTTTTGGTTCTGCGACTATTGGTGTCTTGTTAATTTCAGTACGTGACTTTAAAAACTAACAATTTAGTCTCGTAACTATGTAATTTTTAACACATTTAGTCCTCCGTCCAAATCGCCGGTGAAATGTTTCCGGAAAAACGTAAATAATTTTAAATTGTTTATTTATAGGGACAAAATGGTCAATAATTTAAGTTAATTCATCGCCCATGCGACTAACCTAAGCTGAAGTCAGCAACTCAGCCCTCGCTCCTCACTAGTCAGTCGCCCGAAGTCCGCCGGACTCACCCATTGCCACCGCACACCGACGGCAGATCATACCATTGAATAGGTAAACAAGGGCGTAAGGCGACAGTGATGTACGCTGTTCTCTTACGATTTTGTTGTCAATTTCACAGCCTAAAATAATAGCTTATGCAGTCTTCCGTTAGAGACGGGCAGCATTTCTTTCTCCTAGGAATTTGGATACACGAAGAATAGCGCCGGATTTTCCATTTTCGTCGGCTTTTTTCGAAATAGTGGTTAGATTTAGGGGTTTATCATGGTTTCAAGCAATGCTGCCCCAGCTCCCCATGCATTGTTCATATTCGGGGATCACCAATATTTGGATATAATTTATTGCCGTCAAGAGACTGTTGCCGAGAAGCTTGTTCATATTCGGGGAGCACCAATATTTGGATATAATTCATTGTCGTCAAGAGACTGTTGCCGAGAAGCTTGGAAACAGGAGATGTTGAACTCAGTAGCTCATGGAATTGTAACCAATTTATTTAATTGATTTTGTAGAAGTCCTGCATGCATTTTAAACCAATTTTAATTGATTATTAGTTTCATTATGTATTAGAGCATTGGCAAGCTTGGAAAGGTCGGCGATACTATGAAGGTTGCACTAGGTTTCTTTCGGAACCATATGATGCCAAAGTTGCTTGCTTAAATTTACTGTTTTGCCCTCAAGAATAAACAATTTAAAAACATTTACGTTTTTTCCGACAACATTTTACCGGTAATTTGGCCGAAAGGACCAAATGTGTTAAAAATTGCATAGTTACATGACTACATTGTTAGTTTTTAAAGTCACGTACTTAAATTAACAAGACACCAATAGTCACAGGACCAAAAGTGTAATTTCCTCTTACGAATAATATATCAATGTGTTTGAAATGAATGTTTTCATAATTTTATTGTCAATTTATAATTCTGATAATTATTCATAGAAGATATTGATACAAAATTTTAATAAATTATAGTTATTATGAGAGTTTCGCATATACAATTTTGTTAGAGTAACTCAACAATGTCATTTTTTAGAAGTTTTTAAAGGGATATCTATGAAAGAGATAGAAGATAGAAAATGAAAAATGAAAAAAAAATGCTGACAACAATATATATGTATATAATAGATATCAAATGCGGTAATAAGTTTCATGTGTGGAAACGGGGTTAACCCTTTATCTAATCTATATCAAACACATATAAATAAATAAAAATGCGGTAACAATTTAGTCTTTCTATATATATGTCAAAATTAATATGCGTGTTTTTTTGTGCTTAAACGCCTGATATTTGTGTTGTGTGCTCATGTTCAAGGTGTCTATTTAAATTTTAAACTATTAAAATTATGTGAATACATATTTTTTAGTCTTTTTACATTTATCATCATATCAAAAAGTTAATTTTATCAAACAATTGTAAGATAATCAACTAGTTTATAACCGTTCAATTTGCAACTTCTAACTTATAATTTTTCGATTTCAGCTAAGTTTGCCAAACGTAACCTCTGCCCGTTAATTACATTTGATCAATAAAGTGAACATTAATGCCATTATGTTTTATTTATTTTTTATTTTTTAATACATAAACAAGATCTAAGGAATGAGAAAGTGACCATTATTATTTTATTAATAATGCGAGTTAATACCAGCTTGGGTCTACCGAGTGTAGTGGCATCGCCACATTTAGTCATACACTTTCAATGTAACTATATGTGTTCCTTCAACTTTCAAATTTAACTATCTCTAGTCATTCAACTTTCAAGTTAACCACTAATGAGTTATTTGGTTGGATGTGGTTACAATTAAATTACAGTTTAATTATTTGGCCACCTGAATTACAGTGTTTGGTTAGAGGGAATTACAATTCCACCGAATTGCAATTCATCATTTTGTTGTATTGCAATTCATACATTTTCCCATATAAGTTGCAATTCAATAGGAAAAAGAAAGGGAAATGGAAGAAAAAATGACTTTTTTTTACTATTGATTATTATTAACATTATTATTACAGACTGATATTTTTTCACCAAAAAAAAAAAATACAGACTGATATTTTAATCTTTATTCCACTTATTCACTTATCATCCCTAATAATTTTATTTCTCTGTACCAAACAATATAATTTGAATTTATACTTTATTAATTCGAATTACAATTTGTTTCCCCATATTTCATTTCTTCCAACCAAACGTCCCTGATCCTTCAACTTTTAAATTTATAACTAGGTCTTAACCTTGCCCTTAATTAAACTAATAAAATGACCATGACTAGTTATATTTGAAAGTTAAAAAAATTATGAATGATTAGATTGAAATTTTAGAACGAAATATGGACCCAGCTGGTATTAACTCTTATTAATGCCATTAATTTTTTACTAAACAGGGTAACAGACTAAAAGGAAGTTCATTCAGACCCAACGACGGATTCGCGCGTCTTTTTAGGCTAAAGGACAAAAATGTATCAATATCCCGCAAAAAGGGATTCAGAAAGTTTACGCTAATAGCTAGTGGCCAACTCCCGAAGTTATCAGTGTTCCTCTTTGGCGAGACCGCTACCCTAACGTATCGCTCATCACCGGATTCTTCGTCGTCTGCGTCGCTCTCTACGTATACATACCGGCGTCTGAGAGTGATCGGTGCATGCGGCGAAGGTACGCGTACTTTTTTGTCGTCCGACTGTTGATAATCTCAACTTTGTGGTTACATTCTTAGATTCACTCGAGATTGTTTTTGGATGAGTTTGAGACTCAATTGGTTGATGATTTTTCTTCTGTGAAGTTCCGAAGTACAGGTATTTTGCATTTGGTGACTCTTGAGTTTTGTTTTTATTTTTGAAGGATCATGGGAAACGGTGAGGCTATGGCGTCCAAGGAGGTATTACTGAAAGTGCTGCTGGATGAACTGGTGGACCCTCACTTGCCAGTTTGCATTCCTAGCGGAACTCCACCTATCGATAAGCAGCGCAGCGTTGCCAAACAGGTCTCATTTACTTGCCAATGCTTGATTTTCGTTTTTATTATAGGATGCGTGATATATCAAGTTCCTTCAATTTTCTGATGTTGAATTATTGCAATGTTTCTTTAAATTGGTTTTACTAGCTGTAGGCGGACTGGTTACTGACAGAAATTATTGTTTTCCTGTCAGTTCTTGAGATAGTTTCCCAATTTCTGAGCTAATGAAGAATGAAGTGAACCAGTATTTTTGCATTGTGAAAGTGCCACTTGTCCTCTTTTAGTGTAGAAAAATGCTAAACCCTACTAAAATCACCCCCTCATATTCATTCCGTAACTTGACAATATCACAATATGACATTATCTATAAGGCTTGAAAAAAGGAAATTTCGTTATTTTAATTGGCTACTGGTGAATTGGTCTAGCCCGGATAATGTAATAATCAAATTCAAAGAAAAATCCAATATACTTACACATTAGGGAGTGGCTTTAGTATGAGAATATAGTATGAGTATTTAGTGTATGAAATGTATGAGTCTTACTCCTTACGTGCGCGAAATGCGACCAACTTCTTGATGTCTCAATTGGAATGTTATAATCCTCTTTTTATTTTTTGAAGTTCATAAGTTGCATGGTTTGATTATTAATACTTAAGAAATGTTGAAATGTTTAAATTGTCTGCAACAGGATCTTGTTATCTACTGCAATTTCAACAAGTTCAAGAAGAATTCTTTTTATTTCTCTCCCATTCCAGTTGTCTCTTTAATCTGGATGGTTATTAATGAATTATGTGGTGGTAGTTTTTATTATCTGTGATGTTCAATGAGGCTTTTCACTTGTATGCCATGCATGCTATTGTTATGGATCTGGAATAATAAAAAAATTTCTTGTCTGATATTTCTATTACTTTATTTACTTGGTTTCTTTTTATTTCTTCTTTCTGGACTCAGCTGCACTGTATTGTGTTGCTTTACAACTACTATCACCGCAAACAATATCCTCAAGCGGAATATTTGGATTTCAAGTCATTTTGCGAGTTGGTTGTAACTTTAAAGCCAGTTTTAGCATGGCATATGAACTGCAAAAAGTCTCAATCAGATTCTGTGGAATTGAATGACTCTGAGAATCAGTTTTCTATAACAGAAAAAGCAATCCAAGGTGCATGCAACTTATCTTCCATGCTAGATGCATCCAAAGCTAATCCTGTTATGGAAGGATGGGAAATTTCAAAAGTTTCGGTTCTATTACTGGACTCCAAGAAGGAGAATTGCTTTCTGAGGTTTGGTTCTGTTAATGATGGGGTATGGTCTGTTCTCGAAAAAGACCTTGAGAACTCCACCAGTGAGAGAAAACACATGAATAAAAGAAGGCGAATTGGTATGAAATCGTTACCAAGTGAACCAAAAACTAATGACTCTAGCTTGCAGCAGCTTGCATTTTTGGCAGTTCAGGATGCAACAGGTAGCTTAGTTAATATTAATTTTCCTGCTGTTGGCTGCACAATAGAGTAGGTAATATTATTTACACAATATTCCTAGTAGAAACTATAAAAAAAAGGCCCTGTTTGAATTTTCTTCACCTGCTTCTTGATTTGGGTAAATCCCTTTCCCCTGGCAGCCCAATAAAATTTTCTTTATCAAAAGAGGTGGCGGGGGGAACCCCCCTATTGATGAATAAAAACTGAACATGTCAGGTGACTGGCCTTGCAATAAGGCCACTTAATTTCCCCCTTGAGTAGCATAAATTTCAGTTCTTATATTGTAAGCAATTTTTTTTATTTTTTTTGAAAATTTCTAATTATGCAAAGATTTTCTTCTGATTTGAGGACTTCCAAATGGTATAAGAAAACTTTGCTTAATGTGATGCAGGTATTAGACGATCCGACCTTAAGGTTTTGGAGAAGCGTGTTGTATATTCTTTAAGTAAAGCAAAGACAACTGCCTGCTTTTACATAATTCAATGCAGTCAATCGGCAAGTCAAGATTTTCAAATTCCTATTAAAGATGCTATTAAGAGGTTAGTATGGCTAAGGACTAGACAAACTGTTTTTGCTCACAGCCACACAAAGTTCTAAACTTTGACTAGACTAGTGATTACCCTGGAGTTAAGTGCCTTCTACTCCCGTAAATTATTAATGACATTGTCATGCTGAAATCAATTTACTTTTTATACTAGAGTCTAACTGGCTCTTAAATGATTTTTGCATCTGTATAAATCTGGTTATATACCATTAAGTTAAGGCCCATTATGTAATACAGCAATAACAGCATTACACAAAAAGTCAAAACCAGGCTGCAAACACATAATGCAGTGCCAGGAAAATGTTTATGGGCATAGACTAGTACATTTGAATGCTGATACAGACTTATACAGTTCTATTCATCCATACTTCAACTATATCACCTGTGTATATAGTTCTTCTGTCTTGTGGCAAGGGCACATTGATTACAAGAACTTGAACATGTACTGGAATTTTAACTTGACTGCACATCTACTAAAATTGTTATAAACTGCCATTTGAGAAGTGAAAACTGAGAACCAGATTGGTCATGGGATTTGATTTTATTTGTTACTTTGAAAAGGTAACCTAAAGGATTGAAAAATTTTTAAGAGCTGTCCTGTCATCTATATAGGTTTATTTTGGCTGTGAGGAACTATGAACTATAACTCTACACTTGATTAGTTTGCAGGGTCCACTAGTAGAGAATAGTTCTGGTTGTTGGTTTACTACTCCAGTTGTTGAGTATTTTCATCTGCTTCCTTACGCCACTATCTTATCAGATTGGATTTTGAGGTACCGTTGCTAATTATTTTAAATTTTAAAGTTTTATTAGGTGTCATGGCATAATATAATGATTGATTATTTGCTCCCATTCCCTGCTATATCAGTATTAACTAAAGTGCCTATCTCCACTGCTGGACTGCAGGGATACAAGTCCAAGTAGCTTGCATAGTTCAATTTCGAGAAGCCCTAAGGATGCAGAAACCACTTCAGTATCTGAACTTTCAGGGAATGAAATTGCATCTTCGAAGATGGGAGATACAAGCATCAAGACCTTGGGTTGCTTGGAAAACCATTGCAACAATATAGTTAGTGAAATAAATGAGAACTCTGACAGGAGTACCAATTCTGCAAAATCTAGTGGCAACGAGGTAGGAAATGAAATTGCATCTTTGAGGATGGGAGATACAAGCATCAAGACATTGGTTCGGGTTTCTGAAATAAATGAGAACTCTGACAGGAGTACCAATTCTGCAAAATCTAGTGGCAAAGAGGTAGGGAATGAAATTGCATCTTTGGACATGGGAGATACAAGCATCAAGATTTTGGATTGCTTGGATAATCACTGCAACAATGTGGTTAGTGAAACAAATGAGAACTCTGACAGGAGTGCCAATGCTGCAAAATCTTGTGGCAAAGAGGTAGGTGCTAGTGCTAGCTCTCAGAGGATAGGCAAAAAGAAGACAGTGGACGAAAGGGAGAGCTTTAACAATAACCATTGCAACTCTAATTTTATTAGTAAAGATACAAGCAGTCTCAATCAGGAGGTTCGGGAAGCTTTCAAATATAAAAGTATTGATGGTGACTGTGAATCAATCAGCGAATGTGCAGAATTTAGGGTTGAAGAGGCAAAAGCTATCAAAGACATAGTGAAAGAAGTTGCTGATTTTAACAATTCCTACAAAAGCTCTCATGGAACATCTTTTACTGGAAATGAGTTAGATAATGCCAGCGTGGCATCTCAAGAGCTTGAAAAAATATATCACGGCCAAACTAAAGATACAACAGATTTTGGAGCCAATGAAGTAAGTGCTGGCAATGGCTCTGGATGGCCAAAAAAGAGACATATTGGTACATCTAAAATGAAAGCTTTGGCTTTTTATTGGTTAGTCATAAGGTGTTGTCTTGAAGGGGAGAAATAGTGAAGACTATCAGCAAGGTTGCAGATTTTTTAGGCAAAGAGGCAAGTCCTGTCAATACCTTCTGGAGTACAGGTTAATAGAATGGTGTTGAGGGCATAGAGAAGTTTTGAAGCTGTCAAGTCAGTCATTTAAGGGTGTTAGAATCTATGACAGTGATCAAAACTATTAAAGGAGAAAAACCATGGTGAAGTTGCATCTTACTGGGAGAACCAATTTTTTCTCCCTTAAGATTTTGATCAATGCCACTCGACTATAATCCCCTGCATCTATTGGAAATTTCTATGCAATCAACTCTTCTTTTTCTTTGTACTCTGGAAGGTATTGACAGCAGTGGCCTCATTGCTACAATCTGCAACTATGCTGATTATGTGTACATTATTGTTCCCCTTAAACACACCACTGGATTCTGTACTAAAAATATTTATGACATCACAGCTTTCATTTATGCTTCAGTCAACCTACTTGAAATGCTTTATAAACATCTATGGTTTTTTACTCTATTAATCACTTTGAATGTTTAAATTATTTACAGACAGAGCTAGCTTGCAAAGTAATCTTTTCAGCTTCTGATGGAAAATCATCAACGCAGACTGTACCAGGACGTCTTTACAAGAATGAAGAGATACTGGTACTGTAGGTTGTCTTAACTTTAATAGACCAGGAATTGCATGTGGCACTAGTTAGTTTGCTACTTTTTGTTAACTTTATAACCCGAAACCACTTCAATACTCTCATCTTTCTTATCTTTAAATTGCAGTTAATATTTCCGTTTGAATTTTTTTATTAAAAAAAGACAGATTGTATTGAAGTGGACTTTAGGAAATTGAAATAACGTCTGTTATGGTAAATCCCCAAGATAAGAAATAGAGCATTCAACTAATTAATACAAACAACAGGGAAATGGAAGAAAATGTTGAGAGATTTACAAATTTAGTTTATTTTTAAAAATTATATGTATTGAAGTTCTACGGTGGCAATGGGTTGAGGGTGACTACATCCACCACCCTTGGCCCACGGTTGGACTTTTTCAAAACTTGCCCCACCCTACCAAATGCGGGTTCCTACCACGTTATCTTATTAAATAATTTTTAAAAATCAATAATATTTAAAATATTTACGCATTGTATTTTAAAAAAAAAACCACCAGTGCAAGTTAAGTTAGGGAGAATACCCAAATGTTGGATTAGAATTGTCATCCCTGGTGTAAAAGTATTTGTATTTAAAAGTTTGGAAAACTATAAATATTTGAGAGTGCTAGAATTTATGTTAGCTTTTAGTTGAATGAGAGTATCTGTGTTAACTATTGAGGTCTATATCCATGGTGGATATGGTATGGGGTTTAAGAACCTAATCCAAGGTGGATTGGAGGTTGAGGTGGGTGATGTGTTTGAAAAGGTGGGTTAGGTATAGATGTAGGACAGTAGGACACCTTAACCCATTGTGATACACACCACTCTAGGAAGAAGACCGGCACTATTGAAGGAAAGCAAATGGAAATGAAAAAAAAAAAATCAAGCTGCAAGATTTGCGTTTGGGATGGGCATTAATTCAAGGATAGAATAATTAAATCAATTTTTAACCTTTGATTGATAGTCTACATATTTAGTATGCTGTAATAGAGTATAAATCTGGCATCCTTCCTTGGGGAGAGAGATATCCAAAAATTAGTTAGAATAATCAGCATGCTATTAAGGGGCAAGACTTGAATCTTGTTGGACAATACCATTTTGGTATTCCTTGGTCTATTTTGTGTTATTTTGCACTTCAAATTTTCCAGTTTCAATTCACTAAATTGCTTGCCTCATTACACCATCAATTGGTTTAACTTGCCATTTGATCCGAGAATGACATGACTAGAGGCATGAGTTGATGCGTTGGAGATCCAGTTTGACCATACCCTCTCCACCCTTGCATATTGTGGATCCCATCCCAATGCCAACCAAAACTATTGGAATACCCACTTTTTAATGTGGCAAGTTTTGTATGGTGTTTTTTTTTTTTTTTTTTTTCCAAATCTCAACATATTAAAAAAAAGTTGAGTGGTTGGGGGCATCTAGCATTGCCCAAAATAAAATTAATAAGTTGTTTGTTCAAGTTTTCCTCCCTTTAGGTGTGTTTTTTAATGCTATCTCAATTCTTAGGCTGATCTATAGTTTTTGTTATTTTTTCAAATATACAAATGTTCATTTATGTTGTTCTTGTTGCTAGTGTACTAAGCATCGCCATATTCAAGACAAGAAAGCATCCTGTGACAAAAGTATCCATGGAATCTTAGATGGTATGATTTCTATCTATGGCTTCCATTAGCTGCCTTTGGTTTGAGATTCTTTTCACTCTTTGCATGCCTTTACACACTTTTTCAAGTTCCGCAATTCTTCCACATCATTCCTGGATAGAATAATATCATCGACATAGACTATCAATACAACAGTTTCATTGTATGAGATTTCTTAACAAATAGAGTATGATAAGCCTGACCCTGTATGTAGCCAAGCTTCAAAATCACCTTTGTCAATCTGTCAAACCAAGCTTGAGGGGATTGTTTAAGGTCATACAAAGACTTCTTGAGTTTTCAAACTTGATTCTTTGCCAAACCTCCTTCGAAAACAGGTGGGATTTCCATGTAGACTTCCTCCTCAAGGTTACCATTTAGAAAAACATTTTTTTTATGTCCAACTGTTGCAATTACCAATCTTGGTTGACAGCCAATGAGAGAAGAATTATGATAGTGTTAAGTTTTGCAACAGGAGCAAAAGTTTCTTGATAATCATAGGATTGTGTAAATCCTCTAGCCACCAACCGAGCCTTGAATGTCTCCCATCTGGCAAATCAGTAATAGTCCATGTTCCATTCTTCTCAAGTGCATCAATCTCATCTTGGGCTGCTTTCTTCTATTTAGAATTCTGTAATGCCTCTTGAATTGTGTTGAGAATATGAATATCATCAAGGGAAGTAACAACTGCTTTGTAAGATGGTGACAACCCCACATAAGTAGCATAATTCCCAATTGGATGGCCACAGAAGTAATGGGCAAGGGATTGAATAGGCACTGGAGAAGAAACATTTGGTTTCACGGAAGATTGGATTGGCACAAGAGAAGAAACATCAAGTGTGGCCAAGTCTTGTGTAGAATCAATAAGCACATAAGGCACGAGTTGAGATAAATTTAGTGACTAAATGGGCAAAGGGTACAGACTCAAGAAAGGATTCCCAAATAGATCTTCATTCATGCTCTCTCCCCCTGAACATGAGATTTGAGATAGAAGGATATATGTTCAAAGATGGAGACATCCATAGTGGTCTAAAATTTGTTGGTGGATGGAGAATAACACTTGTATCCTTTGTGTTGGAGAGTAACCTAGAAAAATACACTTATTGGCTCTAGGATCAAATTTGCTACGGTGTTGTGGATACATGTGAACAGATGCTGTGCAACCAAATCCCTCGAGTGGTAAATCAAATGAGATTGTTGTATGTGAGGAAAATTTTGCAAAAGAAGTTGATGTGGGTTTTTTAAATTAAGGATTCTAGATGGCATACAATTAATAAGATAGGTGGCTATGAGAACGACTTCTCCCCAAAAATAATTAGGAACATTACAGGAAAACATAAGACATCGGGTAACCTCCAAGAGATGTCTATTCTTGTGTTTAGGCACCCCATTTTTTTGGGGGGTGTCAATAGAAGAGCTTGTATGGATAATCCCATAATTCTATAGATAGGTATTAAGACTACTAGTGAAGTATTTTGTAGATAGGTATATAAGACTACTAGTAACACATTGAAGATAGGTATATTAGACTCCGTAACACATTGAAGATCACAAGCCAATTTGCAAATGGACAAAAGATTACAATCCAAGTTTGGAACATGTAGGACAGAGTCGAGATACAACTCTTTAGTAAGTTGAATGGAACTTGTCTCAACAATTTTTGAACTTGAACCATCAACAATACATGCAAATGAGTGACCACTACTTGGCTTGTAATTTTGGAGAAGAGTAGCATCTCCTGTTATGTGATTAGAAGCACTTGTGTCAACTATCCACGACCTCATTCCTCCTTTGTTAATAGTGAAAACTGTATGTGAATTCGTTTGAGCAACCATACCTGTCCCAGGAGAGAAATTACTGTCACCAAGGTTTGAAGTTTCTAAACTGCGTCTTGCTTCTGATGTCGTGATGTTGGAAGTTTGTGATGACTGAAATATCAAGGCGGCCTTTCTAGGCGAGATGCCACCGACTACCTAGTCGACTAGGCGATGAGTATTAAATAAATAAAAAAAGTATATATATATTGAAAATATCTTGTCTTGGGCAGCCTATTTGTTGACCTATTTACTTCAAGTAGATGAATAGTTTTTCCTAGAATAGTGAGAAGTCTAGTATTTATTGTATATTGAAAATATCTTGTCTTGGGCAGCCCTTTTGCAACCCTATTTACTTCAAGTTGTCTTGAGAAGATAAATAGTTTTTTCTAGGGTAGTGAGAAGTCTAGTATTTATTGATAACGTGTCAAAGTGAGGTAGTGGGCTTTGATCGGAACAGGAGGACGACGCCAGAGCTCGAACCGCGCCGTCACCGGAGCCACCATGCGCCGGCCCGTGAGGCAGATTCCGGCGACTTCTCCGGTTGGAAATTACACCGGTCAACTCGCCTTAGTGGGTAGGTTCTGCACATGTATGTTTTGTTGAGTTTTGGGTTGTCTTCTGCACGTAGGCGAGGCGAGCACACTAGGCGTTCGGTCTCGATTGACCGGACGCCTAGGCGACGCCTTGATAACCACTGATGAGACCATTCCGTATTTTATCATGGCTTCGGAATTGAGAATGGAAGGCCAATAAAAGTTGGCTTGAAGGGACTAGGGTTCAGAGACCTAGCTCAGATGCCATGAAGAAGTTCTGAAACTCTTACTTAAAAACAATTGGTGATTACAATAGCATATTTTCAAACTACTCTAATAAAGGAAAGAACTAATTAGCTTAATTCTTTCCTCAACTGAAAATCAAGAAACAGAATTATAGGAGAAACTAGAAATAACCACCAATCTCTCCTTTATTCCTAAAATAAATTCGCTAGCTTTGACTCCCTACTATTCAACAAGATGTAATGCCGGTGGCCTTATAAGCACCTAGTAATTCTTGTGGATAGTGCATTGAATTGGCCATAAGTCTATCTGGATTAATATTCTTATTCCTACCTTTTCTTCTTCTCTTTGTAGGCAGCAGGAAAGATAATGAGGGGCTAGAAGGAAAAGTAATCAAACAATTATGTGATGAAATATGCTTTAAGCGAACTCATACCCAAGAAGTACAGAAATTGGGAAGTGTTGCCCTCTCCTTGCGACCTGCATGTCAGGCAAGTTGTTGCATGAGGTTTAAATATATTTTATCTCTTGTGTTTTGCACATTATGGAGACTATCAGATTGGAAGTGTCCTGTAGCTTGCCATGGGAGTAGAGTTTTCATGAGACACCCTTGCTCCACTTTATATAAAGAGAGGATTACATAATTAGTCAATCCTTGATTACATGCTCCATAAAATAAGCAGGGAACATCAATTACTGTTTACATGGTTAATTACATAACCACTCAATCCCTTATTATATGTTTCCTTCTGTTCCTTGAATTCTGTCATTTGAATGATTTGATTCATTTCCTTTTCTGCCTGATTCCCTTTCTTCATAAGTAAACTAGCCAGGGCTTCAGGTCTGTACCACATTTGTTTCAAAAAACATACCAAAACGGGATTATCATATTTTTGAAATGCAATGTCATGTTGCATTCTCAAAGCATAAATTCATGTTCTATTCTGAAAATGGCTGATTCTGTGAATCACTTGTTTGTTATCTACTTATCTCACTCTCATAGTGTCACTTTTAACTCTCTGTCTATTCAGTTGTGAATTTGTGACTGAAGAAGGGCTAATGGAACTATAATGTGGCGTATTGAAACATTATTAGAATTTGAAATCCCCCTATTTCTTCAGTTTTAAAACATTACTGCATTTTGTTGAAAAGGTTTTTAAATGTATATTTAGGGAAGTTCCTTTGAAGAAAATAGTCTATGTCATGGCAACTTTTCTCAATTTGCTTGTGTTCTTTCTGTCCAGCCCTATGCTGAACTTGCTTTTGTCTTCACATTTTTCTTTTCTTCTGTGATTTAAGTTGTCTTAAGTCATGATGCAGCATCAACCATTTCAAATTTATTTATTTTTCTATTTCGTATGCTTTCTTTCAAACTGTATTTGCTACTCCTAATGTTTATTTAAACCTATTTCCAATTTCCAATTTCAAATATTCCAAAAAAAGAAACAATCCATTTCCTTGTCACTGTGCTTCTTGCATTTTCTGATGGTCTGTTGGTGCTCAGGCATCTTGACCTGCAATCATCCCATGTAAATGTTTGAGAAGCTTTATTGTGTTGATAGCTCAATGACAATATGACATTATTTTTACTATAGAATCAACAGTTTATTCCTCTTGTTTACACTTAAACATGCATTCAAAGATACCAGTTCTAGATCTGATGTGAGCACATTGTTTTTTGTTACCCATGGTTACTCTTTTGTCACATAATAAGAAACTAAGGAATATTTTCTTTTGGCAGGACTTAGATGTTATATGTCGTGCAAATAACTGGAGGCTTCCAACATATATTATTTCCGGAACACATGGTAGGACATTTTTTATATGATTGAGCTTATCAAAGGCAACTTGAATTTCCTGGTTATGCTGCTGGTGTAGTGATTTATGCTCAGCAATATTATAAGCATTTACTGTCATCCTCTCAATATTTGATGTGGTGGGTTGCCACATTCTTGAGTTCACTCATTGAAAAGTTTCATCTGTAACCAACATTTGAACAGTTGTAAGAACTTGTGAAATGTGCCTACTCTTAATCTTGTGTTTTGTTTTTAAATAAATGCAATAGTTTCTTTTGATCCTGGATATTCTTTAGGTTAAATGCTAAAGAATAGTGTTAGAGATAGTCAAGCGGGGGTTGGGGTTTTCACTTCACTCTTCTCCCTTTTATTCATACATATGTGACTGTACTTTCTTGTAAATGTTTATGTATAGATGTACAGAACACTAGTGTCAATATAGTAAAAAGATTATTAGCCTTTCTGAGATTTTCAAATACCTTGGTCATTGGTTTGCCTTGACAGTATTTGCTGCAAGTTCTTGTGTGGTGAATGTGAGCTTTTTGTAATAACCCTGACCTATTGTTTCATTGCTCTTCAGTTTATTATGTCAAGATTTATGCATATTTCTATGACCCCATCTCTCTCTGTGGTGTTCTCGTGTGCCATAACTCTTTCTTTCTCATTCTCACTCAGCCACTGCTGTTTTCAATCACGTATTCTCATGGATGTGTTTTTTTAGTTTTGAGGCACCGAGGCACACGCTTGGACTGAGTTCAACAACGATTCCTTTGATAGTGATAGTTTTGACTTAACTCAGCAACACCCTAAAAAACAATATACGGATTTGCATTCTTGTCTTCTTTTTGTACTGCTTGATTGAACTAATACATTCATTTTAACATTTGTAGGTGGTTTCCGTATTAAAGTTGTGATGCAAGAGGGGAGTTTTAAGTGTTCTTGTGAAGGTGATATGCATTCAGATTCGTTAGAAGCAAAGGAGTCAGCTGCAGCTAAGATGGTTTCCAGGTTGCGGGCAATGGCAGACCAGATCCATCAGAGCTTGAGCTAACGAGTATCACATATGTGCTAGATGCCGGATTCTCTTTTGAGCCAACCATGATTTTATGGTATATACTCGCTGGGTACTTTTGATTATATAATACGGGAGCATATAGCAACGAAGATGTTTGATTCATAGAGATGTGTGCTTTTTCTGACGTTTATTTATGCATTACAAACTCGAACAGTCATTTTGTTCTCATTTCAATTTTGGGAGGTGCTAAAATATACTTCTGCTTCTCAGCTATTATACAATGTTGCCCCCATTAATATAATAATATCTCACATGTTCAACACATCAATTTCAAGTGACATTTTGCCAGAAAAAAAATGGTCAGAAGACCATAATGTGGAACAACAAATCTATAGGAAAATGATATATGTACTCCAAGGGAGTAAAACTCCCGCCACATGTCTTGATTTTATTGGAGGAGGATGAAAAGAAAGTATTAAAAATTGTGGCCCACAGTGTATTGAATAAATCAAAAAGTGACATGTAAGTATGGAGTAGAAAATGGAGTAGAATGTGAGAGTACATGCAGTATTACTCAAATCTATATTCGTGTACTTAGACTAGAAAAAAACAAAAACAATAATAGAGGATTGTAGGTGGAATGCTATCGAAGTTGAGAGACTTCAGGTAAAAAAAAAAGTCTTATTCTTTTTCCAAGTATTCATTTTGTTTTATTATCGGGATAAGAGTCAAAGTTTTAAACTAGTTAAGAAAATACAATTAAATCTTTCAAGTAAGAAAAAATTATAATTACCACCTATATTTGAAAGAAAAAATATAATTAAATTGTCACAGAGAAAAAAATGTAATTAAATTGTTACAGGAAAAAAATGTAATTAAAAAGTTTAGCTTATGTTGATCAGTTGAATTACCATGATTTACTCTTCCACAATCTTGTTGAATTACAATGTAAGGACGTAATTGTGGGTTTGGTTTGGACTTTTTCTACGCATGACATTAGTCTAATGGAGGAGAGACATTAGTTAAGATTTGATTTCGACAATAGAGTGATTGTTTGATTATTGTTATGAAAATTGTAGGTTTGGATTGAGCTTCTTGTCTATATAAGTGTACAATTTATTGATGTGTCTCAAAATTAAATTGACTTAATTAATCTCTTCATAAGCTTAGTAACAAATTTATGGAGTCCATAATATACTCTGCTTTTAGCCAAGTAACCTAGATTATTTTAAAAAAATCAAACAAGACACGTGTAACACTACAAAAGTGCGTAGATTTTAGCCCAGGGTTTTCGCGGTTTTTAATGCAAACCTCACCCCCCTCCCCCCTCCCCCCTCTTCACCTTTCTGTGATCTTCAGTCTTCACACTTTCCATTCAGTTCTGGCTCTACTCTGCACAATCTCACATGCCATATCATACCAAACTCATTCCCCTTTCCAAATTTTTACCTTTCCATTCATGCGTAAATTTATCCATTTTATCGTAATACAAAAAATATCCAATAAAATAATAATACGTTATTGAATATTACCGGAGATAGGTAACGTATCACTGTTTTATGGGGATTTCTCTTTAACAATTTTGCAGAACTGCAGTATTCTTACCAGTTTTGAGTAAGTGTTGCTTTGATATTTCGGTTCAGATTGAGAGAAGGGGGAAGATATTGGTAGGTAATGCGGAAAAGGATGAGTGAACAAGTATGTTCTATGGAGGATGCGGTTCTGGCCTTGTTGGATCACTTTGTGGAGCCATTCTTGCCCCGCTACCGGACTATACAAGCTCCTACCCCTTCCCAGCATCAGATCATTGCCAAAAGGGTAATATTTGAGTTTTTGTCTTTTTCTTTCATGGGTTTTCATAATGCCTTTAATTTTATTTCTTGAGTTGTGGTTTTTTAATGCTTTGTACTCTAGTAATGGGTGTGAATCAATTAGCTTAGATTGTCTGTTAGTTGGTCAAACTGAGAAAAGAAAATGTGTGTTGGGTTTATGCGCTTTGTTAACTCTAACAAGAATGAGATGTTTCCTAATTATAGCTCAGATGTTTTATGTACTCTTAGCAGGATATAATGTGAAAATTTTAACAGACCACCAGGAGTAGCTTGCATATAAGCACAGGCTAATTGTGGGGTCCACTACCAAGAAATGGATAGGCTTATGGACTGTGGACCTGGGAGGGAGAATTTATAATTGAAGATGTGATTGAGTTCCCTAGTCAAGGGGGAGAGCTGCATCATTTGAGCCTAGATTATCTAGGATTCTAGTGAACTAGTTTCCATATACCCAACTTTGGAATTGAGTTTCTCTTAGCCAAACTCCATTTAAATCTCAAACTTAATCTACATATATTACTATATTGTACTGTGTATGGAATAATATAAACAAGATGCTATGAATGCTCATTCATGGAATTCTTCATTTGTATTGTTATTCTGTTGATGTGCCAAAAAGAATTTGATATTACTGCTGTTATATGACAGATGCATACCGTGGTATTGCTTTATAACTATTATCATAGGAAGCGACATCACGAACTGGAGTTTCTTGATTTCATATCGTTTAGTAAGCTGGCTGTTGTATTGAAACCAACGTTGGTGGCTTACATGAAACTCATGCGTCAAGCAGATTATTTTAAGATGGATGATTTCGAGAATGAACTTTCACAAACAGAAAAGGCAATAGTCAATGCTTGCAGTGTATCTTCAGATCTGGATGCATCAAAAACTGTTCCAGTTGTAGATGGTTGGCCGGTGTCTAAAGTTGCCATCTTTTTAGTGAACTTGAGGAAGGAAAATTTCATGCTAATAGATAGTTCCATTACCCATGGGGTTTGGTCTGTGATTGAGAAAGATGTGGAGGTCTCCAGTGTTGATGCAGATAATCCTCTAGAATCAAAATGCAAAAGCAAACAGAAAGGAGCTGCAGAAACATTTTTGGAAGATCTAGAAAATAATTCTAATGATGCTAGGCTTCTGGATTTGGCTCTTTTAGCTGTTAAAGATGCAACAGGTATTTTGGGCATAAACTCGTGTCTTATTTTATGAGTTCTTAATTCCTTGGGACTTGCATTTGATGAGTCATGAGTGACTGATATCTTTACACATTTGTTAGCTTTCCTGTCTTTCTTTTACCTTTTTGTTTATTTTTCCTTTCTTGGGTGGCTAGTGGTGCGAAGAAAACAAACATAATGATATCTGACTTACTTGGGAAAAACTCTCTTTTAATTTGGTCATCCAGGTTTAAGAAAATATGCATAGCAATAAAATATTTTGTTGATGCAGTGTCATATAAAATATTAAAATTACTGTAAATATGACAATCTGTAATGTGTGTATATATATATATATATATATATATATATATATATATATATATATTGTTAAAAGAATCTTGACATCTATTATTTTTAATATATTACAGTAATTGTGACTTTGTGAGGCATCTAATCTTACACTTTTAGTGGAGGAGTACTCCTTATCAATGTGATTTTTGTTGAAACAGGCATCAATAAAAGTGATCTTGTGGTTTTAGAGAGCCACATTGTATATTCTTTAAATAAACCAAAGGCAGCTGCTTGCTTATATGTAATGCAATGCACTCAATCTATCAATGATGACATTCAGGTTCCTATTAAAGATCTCGTTGAAAGGTTGGTTCATAGTCCTATCCTTTTGATATTCTTGAACACTGTTTGAATATAATGGGGAAGCATCTTAGGATAAATATATCTGTAATTGTTAGGAAATCGATTATGATTCTCTCATTCTCTAGAATAAAATTTCTTTTAACCACCTGCAAAAAGATTAATAACTGCAATTTTTTAGACGTTTGAAAGTTTTCTTTCTTTAGTAAAATGAGATTAGGAACTGGGACCTGTCTGTCCTTAGACCATAAGATGAAGTTACACGAGGAGGATGCAGGAATGAGTGTATTTTGTTAGTATAAGACCATAGTGTGATTAAGTCTTATACTAACAAAGTGTAATAAGGATGAGTTGTATAATGCTATGTTTGATTGAATCTTCTTTTGAGTAGCTTGCAAGGTCCCATTGTCAAGAGGAGCTCCTGTGGATGGATGGTGACCCCACTTGTCATGTATTTCCACATGTTCCCTTACTTGGAGGCTTTGTTAGATTGGATTTCCAGGTAAAATTGTCTCTATATTTAAATGTCGTACTTATATATGGTGTCTGTGCTTCATTCCTAGACACCAGTGTTTTCCATTAAGGATTTTGTTAGCACATTGCACCATTCCTAGACACCTGTGTTTTCCATTAAGGATTTTGTTAGAATATATGATTGGGCCAATGTCACTCAATTGGGTTATAATGCACATGGGCCAGACCATACTAAAAGACTGAATCCATTCAATTAGCTAGTCTAACCCATGACCTTATGAACCCATATGTTTCTCTCTTATTTTTCAATTTGGAACTCTTTAACAGATTTAATTGCTTGTCTCCTACTCTCGGTACCTAGGAGAGTTCTTTTGCTCATCAAAGCTTACTGATTAGATTGGCACAATTATGCACCTGTAGTTTTCTATTGCATGTACTAAAACATCTTATGTTAGATCAACTAGAGTCTAGAGTACACTATACCAGCATAACTCTGCACTGTGATGTGTATTTATTTTCTACTTCGGAGACGAGGCTTCTCTGGTGAAAGAAGTATCTATAAATAACTGACTGTTAAATAGTTCTCGAGTTATAACTCAACTATACTTGCACCAAAAGAAATGGATTCTAAGCGCCTGTTTATTTCATTCTAATTCACTAGCCCTAAAAAATGGAAACCAAAACACCTCTTTCACTTTTCATTCCCATTCCTTCCCTCAAGATTAGTTAACCAAACATCCCTTAGTTTCCATATCTTCTAGAGTGGATGAAAGGTAACGGATTCATGAAGCACTGTGAGGAATTAGTTATGGTAGATGGTGGAAAAGCAACTTAAGATAACTTGAATTATGTACAACTAATAACAGTGAGGTATGTATCATGCTACTTTAAATCATATAATGTTCCTTAATAACAGTGAGGTATGTATCATGCTACTTTAAATCATATAATTTTCCTTAAGAATCATGATACAAATTCCTTTTGTATTTTAGTAAGTATAGCTTGACTGCTTGAGCATATGTGCAAAACAAAGCACTAATAATCCTATTATTTTCCGTCTTTGCTTAGAAGTGTTTTCAATTTGCAAAACATTTTCCACACTGGAAAAAGGAATACAATTTCCTTTAAACTAATTTTGCCACATCTAAAGGAGTGCAAAGTATTTTTGTTTTTTAGTTGTCAGCACAGTTTCCTTAATTGGTGATTCAATAAACTCTGGTTACAGGGAAGTGCCATCACATGCCTCAAATGCAGTTTTCCCCCAGGGTGAAAACGAAGGCCAAAATCAAAATCCTGTCAAAGTTTATCATCGACTGAAGAATACATTGCCTTTACAAGAGGGTTATAGATGGATCTCACCAAGCATTTTTTTGACTAAGGTAGTTGTTCTAAAGCTTTGTTTGACTACACCTTTTGTCTTTAGTTTGTCATGTATTTAAGGCTGGGTTTGATTTAGTGATCAATTGCTCCCTTGTTGACTATTAACTCATGGGTTCAAGTTTAGTATTACCACTCTTATCATTTTTATGAAATTTGAGCCACTGCATATTGAATTTTATGCACTTACAAGTTACACCTGATGAGGTACCCAAATATTCTGGTATTATTATGCTAAAATGTCACCTGCAATACCTTTAGCCTGTAGGTCTTGAAAGATTCTGTCATCTATGTATATCCAGGCAACTGCTTAATCTACTTTATTATGCTGATTGACTCTTGCTGTACTATCCTTGAAACTTGAAAGCTTATGCAACAAACTTCTGTTATCTTTATATTTCTCCCAAAGGCAATTTTTAGTGGGGAATTTGAGTGAGTAGAATGAATACAGTATGGGAGATTATTGTTGAAAGATACTAAAATAAGATCAAGATATAATATTTCTATTTTTCCTTTTCACATGTGTGTGATACTTGACAGGCAGAAACAGGTGAATCTGTTCTGAAGTCTTGTGATGATGGAAGCAATAATGACACGATTGGTACTACTAGTAGCATGCATGGAGGCAGTTTTTCTATGGCTAATCCTTTATCACAAACTCAACATCGCGAGAGGCTACAAACTTCCTCAACTTCTGTAAATGCACTATCCCAATCCACCTTGAGCATTCTTTACTTGAAAAGACTTCAGCTGGTACAGGCTTCCTGATTGAATTCTTCCTTCTCCCTGCTTCCTACTTCGTTTTTCTCTATGCATATTCGTTAAACCTTTAATGAGCTTTCTGTTGGACATGCTAAATTGAATTCATTTTAATTTATTTATTTTCAGTGCGAGCAACAACAGATTGTGGAAGCTGAAATCATGAAGTGTAACAAGGCTATTGAGAGTGTGTTACATGGTCTGCTCTTTACTCATATCTTGTTTCATCTACCTCAGTGGCCATTGCACATAGGCCACTTAGTTGAAAATAAAGTTATACTCTTGCTATTTTAAGTTTAAGATGATTTTCTCAAGAAACTAGATAATTTAAGGACCAACTTATACATTGCCTCTACTTATTATGTTTATAAAGGTGGTAAAAGTGATTTGTCAAGCACTGAACATATGATAGAAGATCCTTCTGATGCCGATCTGGAAATCGAAGAAATTCAACAGAGCACTAGTCTTACTGTGGAACCCCAATGCAAGGTATAGCATCTAAACTTGATACTTTTCTTCTATCTCACACTGTTCTTTATCTGTTTCTCCTTTCAGTTTTGCTAGCTGATATGCCTGAACTGTTTGCTAAATCTGAAATTGTGAACTGTTAGCTGATACGCTTCACCAGAATGGATAAATAACTAGTTTTTGCATATACGCTTCACCTTATACACCACGCAATAATATGCCAAGCAATTGCAGTTTATTACATTTGAAAAACAAAGAGAAAGGGGACGTAGATCTGGCCCTAAAAGAAGGGGGACAACCCCACAACAAAAACCAACAGAAAATAAGACTTCACAATCGCACCACTTTTCCTTTAAATAACTCACACTTGAGTATTATTTCTGGTGTGATTGACCATTTTCCTGAACTTTTGTTGTATGTATGCAGAAACTGGATGAGTTGTGTCGTGAGAAGAAATGGCCATTGCCAATGTATCGAGTCTTTCCATATGCTGGTATGTATGTAGGACATTGAGTATCGGCATCTGATCCCATCATCATAGCAGCAGCAGTAATGAATTTGTGATTGCGAGCTTTGTCGTTTGTGCAGATGGGTTTCTTGCTAATGTCATTGTGAAAGGTGGGAAGTATGCATGTCAAGGCAGCCTATGCCCGAGTCCTCATGAAGCAAGAGAGATGGCTGCTGCATTTATGATTGCCAAAATAGGTAATATGGGTATATGAGAGATGTAACAAGAACAGGTAGTCTATGGTAGCAGAGGGGGGAGATATTGTGGTTCAGTTGTCCAATAATGGTGGAAGTATTTAGATGGAGAAAGCATAGCATGCCTCCCTCCTTGATCATAACTTGTATCTCTAACTTGTACAGTCAAGTTAATCGGACACTATTGACTTTCTTAGTTTGAGTCGATTCGAACAATTATCTATCTCTTAATTTGATGAGTTGATTCGGACAATATCTGACTATCTGTCTATTGACATTTTTAGTTTGAGTTAATTTGAGTAGCGACTTTGAACTTTTTCTATATAAAATATGTGAATGCAGTGATGCACCAATATTTGTTTATTAAAATGGAAGAGTTTCCATTTACTAACTAAAAAATTGAAGAGTTTTCATTGTATAAAGGTCTAGAAATAATTGATAAATTGTTTCAAAGAAAAGAAATAAATAATTGATTCGATAAATGGCCCATATCTAGCCCTAATAACTCCAGAGCTCCAATTTCTCACCGCCAGCTACGGCGATACCCGCGCGCTTCACGGCTTGGAAAAGCGGCGACACCATTTTACGGTAGTGAGCGGGCCTGGCGAGTTCTTCCTGGTGATCAATCTCAACGTTGCAGATTCCGGCTTCCTTGAGGCGGTGGCCGAGCTTCTCGCCCACTCTGGATGCGATCTTGGAGTCCCACAAGTTATGGGACCTGGGGAAGCGGTTCAGCTTGGCTCTGTTCTCAGCTGCAAATTCTTGCTCAGACGATGAAGCCATCGCGATAATGGACGCCGTCTGCGGGTGAGTCACCTGGGCTGTGATTTTCCGGCAGGATAGGACTAGTCGGAGGAGGTGGTGGCTCGCGGTGGCCATCTTCATCACTCTTGCAGCAAATGTGTTTTAAGATCTCATCTTCCGCTTATTTTTATTTCCCTATGAATTTTTGTGTATTACCCTATAATACAACCATGGCTTGAGGGTGTGCTTTCGTAAGTATTTAAATATGAAAATCACTTCCGCTTTGTAATTTTATGATAAGAAACTCAACTGGTCATAAAAGTGAAAGTTGAAAAGAATGATAGGAAAAATAGTTGTTAGTTGTTGAAGGATTTAATTAGTCGAATTTAATTAGTTGATAGCATTAAATGATTATAAAAAAGTATTTGATAAATTAATTGTCAGTTGATAGTTTATTACATGTAAAATGATTTTTTAAAAAGTTTGATGAAAAAAAAAAAATTACAACTTTTTGAATTTTAATATTTTAGAATAATAAATTGTTACAAAAAATTAATAAATTAAACATTCATATTGATTATTTAATTAAGTTAAACAACTAATAATAATCAAATAAGTCAAAATTGACTAATAAATTAATTAGGTTACTGTTTGACCAACTTAATTAAATTACTTTTTTAAAAAATTACAACTTTTTGAATTTTAACATTTTAGAATAATAAATTGTTACAAAAAATTAATAAATTAAACATTCATATTGATTGTTTAATTAAGTTAAACAACTAATAATAATCAAATAAGTCAAAATTGACTAATAAATTAATTAGGTTATTGTTTGACCAACTTGATTAAATTGCTTTTTTTGCTTTGTTCTTGATATAATTAAATATAATCAATAGTTTAGATTTTTTTAAAAAAAAATTATTTAAGATATATAATCAATTATTCATAGAAATGGTTTATTGCCAACAAAATAAAATAAAATAACAACAGTTGAACACATGAATTATTATTATTATATTGTTTCAAAGAGATTGGATGAAGGAAACATGGGATAGGAAGGTGGGATTGTGTTCAAGTATGTGCATATGCTCCTCACTTAATCCCAGGAATGCTTCTATGTCATTCCCATTCTTAGTATCAGACAATATGCATACATTCATTGCTCTTATTCCATTCCCCACCCATTCCGGTTTCCCAAATCCAAACTCTATTTCGTACACCGGAAACCGGCAAATACTGCTTGTCATCAGGAATCCAATATCCTCGCTGTTTCTCATCATCTCTATCCCACTTTTCACCGCTTTCAAGAACTCGTCGCCGAAATGCATGGGAGTAAAGGTGGTGTTCTTCGCTCTCTGCATTGATTCTTGCACTTTTCCGACGAGTGAGTTGTAGTGTATAGCCACGGCGTCGGCGGTGGCTTCCCACTTCGCCTCCGTAACATGGAAGATGTTGCCGATGCTTTCTTGGGGTAACGGCGGCTGCATTTTGCTCCGTAAGTCTATGGCGCTGAGCATTATGTGTGTTTTCATGGCGGGGTTTGTTTCTCGAAACGCCGCGATCACGGCTTCCCATATAAGCGCTGACACGGCCTCGACGCGGGAGGGACGGCGGCAACCTTGATCCGCCGATTCTCGGAGGGCGGCGATTTTGGAGGCGGCAAAGATGAGTCTCCTGGTGGAGACTGAGGATGCCGCCGCCGGGGTGTTGAGAGGGATGAGTGAAAAGCCGTTGACGTCTCTCGGCGGGAAGAACGGAGTGCAATCCAAGACGACGAAACCTTTAGCGACGACTTCATCATCGTCGTCGTCGTTTTCGCCGCCGCGACGATTGATGCGCGCCCAGGTTTTGAGGAAAGCGGTCATCGACACAGCATCAGTGACGGCATGACTGGTGCATAACCCCACCGCCAATCCACCGCAAGCAAACCTATTAACCTGCACCATAAGAAGCGCACGAGTTGACGACGACACAGTTTCGGGGTTCACCGGAAGCAGCTGGCGCAACAGGTCAGTTTTCGGGTGCCGGAGAACGGAAGACATTTCCTCAAACACCTTAACGACGACAAAATCAACTCCATCATCGTTACACTCGATGGTGAAGTCATCCTTGAGCCTGCCGGCGAGCGGCTGCATGTAGGCCAAGGTTTTGGAAAGAGAGACCCTCAGGTTATCATAAACTAGTTGTTGGAAGTCAGATTCTGAGAGAGCGGTGGGGTAGAAGAGCAAAATGGGATTATAGCCATGCGGAGCTATCTGATCAAGGAGACACAGTTTATGGAGTCTTGAAGAAGAAGAAGAAGAGGGTTTGATGAGTTGTCTTGATACTGTTTCAACTTTCATGATCGTCATTTCCAATGTGTCTTAGCTCTCACTATATCATTCCAATATATACAAAAATATAATTCACTGTATATGCCATAATTTTATTAATTACTCCATAGTATATTATAAAAATATATGTGTATGTAATATTATTACAACCAAGTACGTGTACGACAGGTTGATATATATAGTAGATATATACAAGACAATACACATACATACAGTGCAAAAGATTAAATCGTGGAGGCGACGCCGAACTACATGCATATCTCCATCGTCGAGTCATTATATAATCTTGATGCAAACAATCCAAGAGAATCAGTTATCTTGGCAATTGTAATAAATTTTGGGCGTCAGATCACTTGAAAGCGTATGAAAGTGGCTGTTTGTTTGTTTTGTGTGTAAAACAAGGTAAAAAAGAAAGGCAACCTTGAATGTAACGTTTGATATGACCACAACATTATGTAATTTCCGAAATTAAAATATTCTCACTTAACTATTTGATTGAAATCTCACACAAAACTATTAAAGGATGTTTGGTTGGAAATTTTTTTTAGTTTGAACCCGTATAGGAAAAGACCCTATAGAAATATTTAAATTGAAAATGAATTAGACCGGTCTACTAATCTATTCTAACTATCAACTAATTCCTAAAATTTATTCCTAAAATTTTAAGAATTTTAAGTAAGATGGGGTTGTAATTCTTTATACTTCGCGAGGTATAATGACAGACCAAGAGGCTCGACTAGAAAGAATCGGTGGAGAAATTAATGTTATATGGTAAGATTTTAAATATCCAAATTGAATCCAAAACTTCTTATTTGTGCAAATTTGGAAAAGAAAAAAGTTCGGGTTGTCTAATACTCCGTATCATTCTACTTCCATTAGGTAGATACAAAATGAATTCATGAAGGTTACATTAATGAATTCGAATAGCATGTTCCAGGTTTATTTATTTAGATAATGCAGAACAGGAGGAAATTGAGAAAAGAAATTGTAATTTCACTAATTTCATGAGAAAAGAATAAAAGAAAAATTTAAATTACATTATTTGGTAATTAGTGGGAAGAAATGGAATGAGAGAATTTGAAAGAAAAAAAAAAGTAAATAATATATATATATATATATATATATATATATAATTCTGCAATGACTCGAGATTTGACCAATGGCAGTCTAGGAACAGCCTCTCAAAGTGAGAAGTTCCTTATGCACCGTAAGCAAATCTAGCCTCTATCTAGCCTTTGTCGGGTGTGTGAGGGGCTTGTGGGGTTGGGGATTCAACCTTTGGGGACAATAAGTCAATAATAATAATAATCATAAATCATAAAAATAATAAAATGATAATTTATCATGAAATTACAATTCCACAAAATGTAGAATTGCAATTGGGGCATGGGGTTGGAGGGAATCCAACCAAATCATGGAATTGCAATTGCATGAAGTTCGGTACCAAACACCCCATTAATTCAGAGTTGAGACATGTGCACAAAAACATTTAGGAATCATGATGGCAAAATCTAATCAGGATTGGTACACTTCAACCCTTGCAATCTCTCACCAAAAAAATTGAGTGGTGGGCGAGGCATTGTATTCTCCTTTCAAATTGAATATCAAAATGGCAGAAAAGATGGGTAAATGCCAAAATCTGTTGGAAGGTTCAATCATATGCACTATAATGAACTGGAGCATAGTAGTACCCTAGAAATGCAAGAAAATGGAAAATGTTCCAAGGCCTAACAAGCTATCAATCAAGAACCTGTTGAATGAAGCAGGTCAATCTGGGGTCTCAACAAATTCCTTAGGGCACAAATCAAATGGCAAACAAATGGACGTGACCAACCACATAAAAGGCAAGAGTATATAGGAGGTGGATGAATATTGAGTGATAATGTATTGATGTTGGGGCAATCCTGACGGCTAAATTGAATTGAATGCATATAAATAAACCCAACTGGATGCATACAAAAGATCAGTTATAGGGCATTAGATACAATGCATTCAAATAGTAATTCATCATCAAACACAAAATCCATCTAAACAACAAACAACCAAGCATATTGCTAATCTACATTCTCGAAGACATGGCACGGCACGTTATAAAGTTCAGAACAACCCGTAATACAAAGACATAGCTAGAGTATGAAATAAAATCACAGATAATACCCATATTCATTTCACATATTACCAGCAGTTAAATGCATAAAAAAAGATTCTTTAGCACCAAGTTAAAGTGGAGTGCTTCTAAACCTACAGAATTTGTACAGATATAGCCATCTAATCCTGTTGCAGAATCTAGCCAATTTGGATGAGTAATTCACAATCAAGCAACTCCTGGAAATAGTTTCAACCTCCGAAATAAACAATCACACACATCATCAGAAAAAACGAAGAAGAAAAGCAATGGCAGCAAAATCAAGAACAAAACAACACAACTGTAACAGCATTAAAGCTAAACATAAGCAGATCATGAAAAGTTGTTAATCAAATAACAGTAGAATGAGTTCAAAGACAAGACAAAACATTGACTGAATACTAACAGTAACGATATCTGATTTCCCTCAGACAATAAGCCAGTATCACCTATGAATAACATAACATAGCAAAACACTCCAACACAGAATTACCAAAACTCCAGAGCTCAGAACCTGAGCTTGGTGAAGAACCAACGGTTTTTTCCAGTCTTGAACCTCTCCTCGAACCGGGCCTTGGTCTCCTTAGAAGCAGTGACCCTCTTGTCCCGAGACTGGAGGCAGTCGCTGGAGACGATGTCCTTGAGATCGACATCGAGGGTGTAGCGAGTGGGCATGATGTGGTTGTAGTTCACGAGCTTCACGAACACCTTCACTCGAGACTTCTTCGCCTGCTTCTTCGCCGAGTCCTTGCGGATGACCTTCTTCGGGTACTTGGATACGCCGGCGACGAGGCAGTGGCCGTAGGGGCGGTCACGGGTTCCCTCATCGAAGGCGCGGACGATAACCGCCTTCCGGCCGGCGTAACGGCCCTGGAGAAGGATCACGGCCTTGTTTGGTTTGAGGAATTTCACCATCTTTGCGCCTCTCCTCCGCTGCTGCTGCTGATCTCTGCCTCTTTCTCGCGCTCTATCACTCGTCTGCGTGCTTAAAACCCTAGCCACTGCCTATATGTATCAATGCGTGTCCAAAGCTGTAAAACCTAGAAGATGTGTGGGCTTGGGCTTGGGCTTGGGCTTTGATATGAGCCAACTTATTGTTTGAGAAGATGAAATAAGCGGCCGAATTTTAATATTACTACGGCCCAATCTTCTCCCTTTCGCAAATTATGCCATGGAATCGTGTTAACCGAGAATGTTCACCGAGAATGGTGAACACAAGACAAAACGACGTCATTTTTAGGTCAAAAAAAAAAAGAATTCGCGGATGTGGAGTTAACGGCGCGCGTTTAATCAAATTATGAATTTTCTGTTATGAGATTATGAATTTTATGAAAATTCATAATCTCATAACAGAAAATTCATAATCGCATAACAGAAAATTCATAATCTCACAACTGAAAATTCATAATCTCATAACAGAAAATTCATAATCTTATAACAGAAAATTCATAATCTCATGGTTCCAAAGTGAATGTGTAGGCATGGTTCCAAAGTGAATGTGCAGGCATGGATTCATAATTTATGAATGTCCGTGATTTCGGACGGGAATATGTAGGCATGGTTCCAAAGTGAATGTGCATGCATGAATTCATAATTTATGAATGTCCGAAATTATGAATGTAATGAAAATTCATAATCTCATAACAGAAAATTCATAATCGCATAACAGAAAATTCATAATCTCATAACTGAAAATTCATAATCTCATAACAGAAAATTCATAATCTTATAACAGAAAATTCATAATCTCATGGTTCCAAAGTGAATGTGTAGGCATGGTTCCAAAGTGAATGTGCAGCCATGGATTCATAATTTATGAATGTCCGTGATTTCAGACGGGAATGTGTAGGCATGGTTCCAAAGTGAATGTGCAGGCATGAATTCATAATTTATGAATGTCCGAAATCTTTGTTCACTTCAAATTAAAGTGAAACCGCAAAATGTGAAAATAAAGAAGAAAAGTCACGCAATTAATTAAAAAAAAAAAAAAAAAAAAAAAAAAAAAAAAAAAAGAAGAAGATAACGGTGTACTAACACCGTTAGAACCGTGTTCACCATGAATGGTGAACACGGTTCCATGGCATAACGTCTTTCTCCCTTTAAGGCAAATTATTTTGTGGATCCGGGGGCCGGGTCTACCTTGCAGGGTAGATTTAGATTAAAAATGTACAATTTACGTATTAAATATTTACAATTTATCTTTTAAAAATTCACAATTTCTGATGATCATATATTGTATTAACAAATTCATAAAACTTATAAACATAATTTATATTCTAAATGTTCATAATTCCAATACTAAAAAGTAAAAACACACAATTTAAAATCAGTGTCCATCTTGCAAGGTAGATCCTGGTCCATGGTATAACAACTGCTGAGGACAATTTATATCATGGATTAAAGTTCACATAGTATTATGAATCCTAAATTGAAGTTGATATGAATTATTCTCTGAATATACCTCTTAATACATTATGTACATCTGTTCGGTATTCGGACCAAGATCACATATCATTTGAAAAATATCTTGCTCCTATAGGTCGGGTCACCACCAATATAAGGGTCTTTACCCTTCAACACTATTTGGGGGGGGGAGGGGAGGGGGTCCATTTTCCACACACAATCAATGAGACAATTCATCTTGACTACTTTGCTCTTTTTATCAATAACTAAGGTTCCTTTTAAGCCAATTCTTTAGTTCTGGATCATTTTTTTCATTTTCACTTAGTATATTTCATAATCATCTTTCATACTCACGTCATATAGATCGAATGAATTAATTCTATCAAAAATGATGAGATACAAAATTTCATAACACAAAATCCAAAAAAATCACAACACAAGACACATAACATTATAGACTCTAGATTAAAATGACGAAATACAAAATTTATACTCGTAAAGTACAAAATTTCATAACACAAGACACAAAAAATCATAACACAATACGCACACACATATTATATATTTATTTTTCAAATTTGAGTTAGGTAATAATTTGTGTTCATGAGCGCATAATTTCACAATAGAACACACATTACTTGATTATATTATAAATATTTACCCTTGTAACTAGGGCAAATTATTCTGTAAATACAGGACCAAAATACACAAATACGCAATTTACATATAAATGTTTACAATTTTATAAAAGGTAAATTATAAACAGTTAGTATGTAAATTGTAAATATTGAGTACAATGTACTTTGCATTTATTTTGTTTATTCTTTCTCCATTCAAATTTTTAAAATATAACGGAAGTTTTATTCTTTTGGAGTACCCCTATCATTTACGGTAATTTGAATGGACAACAAAGCACCAAAATCATACCAGCCATGAGCCATGCGAAATGCAGAAAAAGACAAAGCAAGAAGAAGATGGGAGGCAATCAGCATTATATAAATCATACTTTAATTAATAATAATCACACTTCCCCTTTTGTTTAATGGCTTCTCGATGACTCCTAAGTACAGAGCTCCGATAAATCATCAACCTAAATTCAAATTAAATCTTAAACAAACAAACAAAGCATTAAGATTCTTCATCATCATCATCAAAAGCTGTAATCTGGTTTAAACACCGATGATGATGTCATATTCTTCAACCCCCGCCCCTTCTCTTCACCTCTACTAATGCCGCTCTTCCCCTCTTCTTCATCTTCTTCGTCTTCTCCCGCAAAAGCCGGGTGGGTGAGAATACTAGTGAACAGCTGGGTTCCTCTCAGAGCATTCGTCAATGGCAGGTGACCGTCCGGCGGCGCCCCGTCGTCGGAGATCTCCCACGTGAACTCGTCGGGGAAGGCCCGGTAATTGTACTGCTCCACCTCCGTGTCGAGCTTCTTCATCCACCCCAGCTTGAGGAAGAGCTTGGTGAAGTCTTTGCCCACTTTATTCCAGATTTTCTTTTGGACGCTGTAGCCGAATTTCTCGCCGCTGTGTTTCCGCCACAGGGAGTCGATGTACTGGAGGTCGGCGGCGGGGATGAACTGGACCTCGGAGAAGAAGACGTAGCCGCGCTTCTGGGCGGCGTCGCCTGCCAGAGAAATGAGGAGGCGGCGGGTCTCCTCGTCGGCCTGCCGGAAGTTCTGGCCGGCGAGGTGCTGCTCCAGGAGGTCGTAGGAGATGGCGGTTTCGGAAGTGGAGGGCGTGGTGGCTGACGACGGCAGCGCGAAACTGGAAGTAGTCCCGTAGGAAAGCGCGGCGCCGCCGGCGGTGATGGTTCTCGTGGCGGTGGTGGCCGGTCTGAGGAAGAAAGAAGAAGAAGAAGAACGCGGGCAATCCATTGAATGGCGCCGCCTTAACGTACGGTGGCCGGCGTGACGGTGGCCGTGGTTAATGGTGTTGATTGAATTAGTGGCCATTTGTGGTTTGTTGTTGTGAATGGAGAAATGTTGTGAGAGAGATAGAGAAAAGGTTATAATCAAGAAATGAGAAGCAAAGGGGGAAGGATATGGAAAAGTGAGATAAGAAACGAGTGGAGAGGTCAAGGGCAAAAATATAAAGCAAAGATGTGATTGGCTTACACACACTCTCTCTATCTCCCTTATCAATACAAACATTTCTTATACAATGGGATTCATTTACTCACAAGATTTCCCAAGTTGTGGAGTATAGGAATGGGAGGATTATAATCCACAACCAACCAAGTTGCATAATGTCAATACAAAATTTTTTAAATTTATTCTTACCACTTTTAACTTAGGAAAGATTGATAATATCATATCAGACATTATAACATAATCAGATTAGCACTAACATGTTGAATAAATAATATTATAAGCTAATGACGGGATTACACTAATTTAACAATTAATTTAAGAGATATTATTGAAACTTTTTTAATTAAGGGATATAACTTTCTCTCATATGAATCAAGATAACGAATTTCAGACAACAATAACTTAAAGAGAACTAAGAACAATGACTACACCGCCTACCATGAAATCAATCCTTGCCACTACTCTTTGAGTATCTCACTTCTATATTGGTTGAATTCATATAATAGAGTTTAAAAAAAAAAAAAAAAAAAAAAAAAAAAAAAAAAAAAGGACACAAATTACACTATTATTTGAATTTGAAGATTAATTTGAGATAGCACTTAGATTAATTTTTTCCTCTCAATGAAAAATGATCAATTTGACACTTTTTTTTTTATATAAATAATGAAATCATATAGTAAGAGATTTGGATTATCAATTTTCTATTGAAAACAATTTGACTAAGATTGATGAATGGTCTAATCACTCGAATGTTAATTGTTAAAGCTAAAGGAGAACAACATATATTTTAAAATTTTATTGAAATAGTTAAACCGTAAGCCTCTATAGCTCAGTGGTAGAGCGTCAGTCTTGTAAACTGAAGGTCCGTAGTTCGATCCTGCGTGTAGGCATTTTTCCCTTTATCCACATCATAGTATAGGAAAGTTTATGGAAATGGTTGATTTTCCCTTTATCCACACCATCGTATAGGAACTTTTATTGAAATGGTTGACCTGTAAGCCCCTATAGCTCAGTGGTAGAGCGTCAGTCTTGTAAACTGAAGGTCCGTAGTTCGATCCTGCGTGAGGGCAGTCGTTAACCGTCTAGTTTTACGGTGGCATATTGGCAAGGTACACCTGCACATAGAATTTGACTCTAATTTAATCTTGTTATAATTGGTCTTTAATGTTTTGCCATGGTCGATATTGATAGTACACATACACAAAATACATTGTTCTAAATATTGGTTGTGTTGTATTTTTTTTTTGTGTGTAAATTACGGGGTGGTTCGAATCTTTCTCTGTCCATTTAACGGTCCAGGTTTATATGATTAATTTCCGTTCGCTCTAGGAGGCTATGGGAGTTGGTCCAGGGATAGTTGTATTGTATTAAATGACAAAAATTATTTAATTTTTACATATGTAAATACTTGTGTGTATTATGTTACTCTATTGTTCAGACACGAATGAATTAGATGTATAATTTTTGGAACGCATGCCATAAAATAAAAGAAATATAGATAACAAAACTCAATTTGACAAGAATAATGCAATTGGACTCAATGCTATCTCCCATGTGCAAATGCCTTATTAATTATTGAATGGCCAAAAATTTAGAAATGTGAATTAATAGCATGCCACACTTCACATTATTGATGACAATGGGTCGGAAAGATTACATCCATCATCCAATTCACTTTATCTTCTCTTCATCCACTCTCACTCCCAACTCATATCGGGTGGACTATTCAAAACTTACCCCCACCCCATTGGATTGTGTGCCCACTATCGGTATCACAACTTATCGTCTTTTGTTATTTTTTTAAAAAATAATATTTAAATTACTTACACATAATAAAATAATAAAATTCATTAGTTATACTAAAACATAAAATAATAAAAATATTCAAATATAATAACTAAATTGTTAATTTTTAAAGTTATTGAAACTTTTATAATTAACTATATACTAGTACTACTTATTTTACTATTATAATTAGGTGAGGACGTGATGACTAATCTATTGCATTTATTTTTTTTTATTTGGATGATCCAGATTTGATTTCTTAAGATGACATGAATTGATTTTTTTTTTATCTGAACTATATATATACACACGCATGGTGATGGTGGGTCGGGTGGGGTTCTAGACGATTTTTGTATATAAAACCCGAATCTAACCCGACCCCCGCAAATTTATTTTTTTAAGACCCATCCCGACTCACCACCTACTATCACCCAAAACAAACTCGATCTATGCGGGGTAGATTCGGGTGAATATCCGCAAGGCAGATTGAAATTGTCATCTCTACTTCACATACACAAACAATTTCTTTATGATATATATATTAATAGAAGTATATCAAAATTCAAAATTGAAAAAAAAAAAAAAAAACAAGATAAATTTATGTAGTAAAATGGTTACAAATTCAATTATTGAGTATCATTTTTTTTTTTTTTTTGGTGATGAGGTAAATTCACAATCACTGTTTAAAGCATTGAGGGTATGCATTGAGTGTATGCAGCAGATAAACTTCACTTCTGTATAATAGGATACAAATATGGGAAAAATAAACTACACTAGGAAGACCCTTGCCACGAACTCGATCACCAAGAGAATGTTAGTAAGAATCAAACCTTTTTCATATAATCTTTTACATGTGGTTTTGGTTGTTTTAACATTGTACAAAGGCTCTCTCCCCCTACCCCCATTTTCACATTAGGTTTATGTTTTACAAGTCTAAACCTAGTTTTAATCTCCATAAAATACAAAATTTAAGGGACTTATATATAAATAGATTCTGCTCATCTGTTAAGAGGAAGAAGAATGAGTGTAGCATTAAGCCATTAAACCAAAATAAATGTAAAAGAGTGGAGAAAGAATACCTAAGTACAATTCTATTGATATGATCAAAGTAGGCAGTTGTTTTCCCAACAACATTCAAAGAAGAAAAACTCCTGAAACTGGAAATTACCTGAATTGAATGAACAAAAGAAGATAGCAGAAAAGCACTGAACTGAACATTACATGATCAAAACACATCTCATCTGCTCAACAACATTCCAAGCTTCTCAAATCTCAATATATATATGTGGACTAGAAGTTGTGCTGCAAGAACAAGTGTTCTTGAGGGGAAGCCGGCCCGATCTCTTCTTCCAAGCTTCTCAATCCATCTCCCATGCCTGCTGCAGGAGGGGCAGCATTTGCATTTCCCAGATTCTTGGCCTCGAAGTTCTTCCCCTCGACGTCCCCGTCTGAGATTGAAGACTTCATCCTCTGAGAGGAAGCGACGCTGGGGAAAGTAATCCAGGAGGGGGCTCTGAACTCTGATCTCGGGTCCTCGGTTTCTGCAACATCTGTTTCTGATGTGGACCGGTTCGAGGATCTCTGGGAGACCTTCTTGTGCAGCCTGCTGCTGCCCAGAACGACCTCGGTTGGCAAGATGGGCTGCTCGTTGCTAGGACTGCCCATCAACTGGGCAAGCGCCCGTTCTAACGAGGTTGTCACTTTGTCCATTGATGGCCTCTCCTTCCCTCTCATCCTCACACATTTGCAGGCTACATTTGCAATCCTTCTCAGAGCCTCAATGTCAGATGGGAGTTTGAGGACAGGGTCCAAGATTGCTTCGATATCTCCCGCCTTGATCAAGGGGACTGCCCATTCCACTATGTTCCCTTCTTCGAATTGCATGTCTATGGCTTTCCTCCCACTCAGAATCTCCAACAGCAAAACGCCAAAGCTGTAGACATCGGACTTGGTTGTTAGGTAGTGGAGTCGGTAGTACTCGGGGTCGAGGTATCCCAGAGTCCCTGCAGGGAGTTCAGCTAAGGGAGAGCTGCTGTTTGCGGGCCCGAGCAAGGACAGCCCGAAATCTGCCACTCTCGCGTTGTGCTCTTCGTCTATGAGGATGTTGGAAGACTTTATGTCCCGGTGGATTACGGGAGGGCAAGCATACCCGTGCAGGTACTCAATTCCCCGAGCTGCTTGGACTGCAATTGTGACTCGTTTCACCCAATCGAGTTGCTCTTTTAGCCCCCGGTTGTTGCCATGGAGGTGTTGGTGCAAGGAGCCATTGGCCATGTACTCGTAGACGAGCAGCCTCTCCCCGCCTTCCTCACAATACCCGAGCAGATTGAGGAGATGGGCGTGGTTTAGCCTCGAGAGCAAGTCGAGCTCGGTGTGGAACTCCTTCGAGTTTTTCTTCATGTCCGGGGACATCACAGCTCTCTTGACAGCAACCTCGGTCCCATCCTTCAATACCCCCTTGAAAACGCACGAAAAACTCCCTTTCCCCACTTGTGATTCCTCCTTGAATCCCTCGGTCGCCCTGTCGAGCTCCTCATAAGTAAACATCTGAGCTCTCCTGATCTTCAGATCATCCAGGTCCGGTAGGATTTTCCCCCCATTCTCCTTTTGGAAAGAACCAGTCCTCCCGGGCTTCCTCGAGCTCAAACGCTTAGCTGAGCAAGTACACTTCCTTAATCTGTAACGAACGTATATAACCGAAGTCAGGGAAACAACACTGACTAGGAACACTGCAAAAGCAACCTCAGCAAGGATAACTGGCAACTGGAGTGACCAAAATTTAGAGTTCTTATTATTCCCAGAAGAAGCAGCATTAGAACAGTTCGAAAAGCACTCGGGCGAGATGCAGTTTGAACAATTGTAGGCGCATTGTCTGTCAGACATCGGGGAGCAGACAGCGGATTGGGACATTTCAGCGGGGCATCCAGTGGAGCAGGAGAGGCAAATCGCGCTATCAGTGGACTTGCAAGGAGAACTTGCATTGGTAAATCCATAGAACCCTGGGGCACAAGGCCGGGGCTTGCAGATTCCGGGGGAAACTGCAACCGGGAGAGACGTTGGGAAGCCAACGCCCCAGCAAACGGGCTGCAGGGACGTGGTGGCAAGGATTCCACAAGTGAAGTAATCCCCGGCTGCAATCTCATAGAGCTTAACACCGCTAGGAGGCGGGGTGCTCTTCTCGACGTGATACCCCCAGCAAACAATTCCCCTATCGAAGCTCCTAATCCCACACGCGTGGAACCTCCCCCCTACCACCGAAAGCATCGGGTCTCGGGGAGCCAATGCAATGTTAAGCCTAGCAGATTGTGAC